CTCCTTAGAAAGTTATATAGGTAGGTAAACTTGTAATAATGAGGGAATTGTGTCTGCCACAATTCAAATGATATTTTTAAAATTGTGATTTGGGTGAAAATTTACAGAGCAAATTCACTTTCCACACAGCAGTTCACATACACTTTGTCTCATGACACTGACCACAATTTACCACAATGCAACAGCTCCCCCCTACTTCTTCCCGATAATTACCTCCTTCCTGTGTCCATCCCTCCATGCCCTCCTGCCCCCTGAGTTGTCTCCCTGTGCATAAGCAGCCCTTCTTTCTGCCATGATTGTTCTCTCCAAGGAGTATATCTACTTAAGGTAAATGTTCAACTCATATGCCTGTCTTTTGCTTGGCTGGAAGCCACAGGTGTAGGTTCAATTCCAGACCTGACAGGCAGCTAGGGGCCATAATCTCAGTGGTTCCACCAGGCTCTATCAGACCAGCAAACTTGGTGTCCCCCGCTGTGGCACCAAGTCCACATTGTTCTCCCTTTCTATCCAGGATCTCCTACATAGATCCCCTTCCAAGTGGTTGACATTTGTAGCCGGGCACCATCTAGTTCTTCTGATCTCATAGTCGTATAGGCTGCAGATTGGATGGTGTACCAGTCACTAGGACTGATTGTATCCATGAATTTTTGGTTTTCTTCATTCTTCTTCGTTCTGGACAAGGAGAGACCCATCGTTGCATCTAGATGGCAGCTTGCTAGCTTTTAAGATCCCAGTTGCTACTTGCCAAAGTAGGATGTGGAACAATGTTTTGTGTAGTATGTTATGCCAATTGAGCTTGATGTCCCCTGCGACTATGGTCCCGAGCCCACAGGTTCAACTACTCGGTCCCTCTGGGAAGCTGGCCGTGACCAAGCAGTGTCTACCACCTTGCCTCTTGTCAGCTCTACTATACACCTGGGAATTCAGATCATACACATAAACTTATAGGACCATTGTCTGCCCAACCGTATACATATTCTTGGGTACACTCCCCGCTTCATAGACATACCTATTACTTCAGTCTGTCCACCCATCTGACCACCCATCTATCCCCCTGTATACCCATGTTTGCCTTCACTGACAACTCAGTACTGTATGTGCAAAAGGGTTCATCTTTGTTGGCTGTACCTCCCATGTACCTCTCTATGTCTTTCTCTTCCTCAATGCCACCATATTGATCACTCACATTTGGTACATCGCCCTTCTCTTCACCCAAATCAAT